AATTGATGGCATTTTAATCGCCTGCAAGACAGAGCCCTATGCCCAGTCAAAAATACTTTGGGGCCCTCAAAGATCCTTAAGGTTTTTCCAAACCCGAGTTGAACTTCGATTTAATTAACTGTTTGGTCAACTAGGCAGGCTCATCGCAATTCATTTACTCTGGGGTCGGTCGAACTCGCAATGTTTGTCTTGCTCTGATTTCGCAGCTTTCGGCTCGATAATTAAGAGGCCAAATTGATTAATTGCTTGACGGCTGGCTGCCTCTCGGCAATACAGTGACTGAACAGAAGTCGGGGTTCGCCAGTAGCTCGCAATTAATAAAGGCGCGAAAAAATCAGTGGTAATTGCTGGCCATCCAATCAATGCGTTTGATTGTCCTGCGTGTCCGGCAGTTCAATCTGCGTGGCCAACATCTGTTCGATTAAGGACCATTGACCAGCAGAGCTCGCTCCCTCGAAAGGAACTATATTTTAGTAATCACTTCTCTGTTCTGCCCAACCATATCTTTGTCTGTTAAATTCACTCATATAGACTTGACTTCTTCCATGCGAAGTTTTTTAACTACTATCGAATTTTGAATTAAATTTTATGAGTTTTGAATCAATTTTCATAAAAATTTGACAACTGTATCACATAGCTGTCATATGAACATTTGTCGAAAAAAAAAAAAAATAATAGAAAAATCTTCATAGCTTTGATGTTGTTTAGCCTTTATGTATTTTGTTCGACATGTTTGATGACTGCAAGGGTTGCCGAAGCTACCTTTCTTTCTTGTTTTCTTCTCAAAAAACCAAAACGTCTTCCCTTAATTTGTTACTACACCAGTAACACTTACTTATAACACTTACAATAACTTTTGATAATGATGCAGAGTTACACACATTCAAAGCTAATTTTATTAAATTTTCTTAAATAGATTTTTTAGGAAGACTTTTAATGGAGCAAAAAAGAGGTTTTCTAACCTCAACTCATATTTATTCCTGACCAGCAATCAAACCCGAGTCGATTGACATTCCGATACATTTTCTTGATGGTACTAAAAATTAAATTGTTAGCTTGGCAAACTCACTGACTACATAACAAACTCTTCTCTTCGAAGGTTAGATTTTCATTGGTAACATGAAAAGGCAAATCGGACATGCTTCAAACGCCTTCTTTAAGAAGATTGTAAATTTGTTTTTTGATTAGAAACATCGCATGGGTATAAAGTCGACAACGAACTAACTTGGTGTAAACTAGTATCTATGGCTTTTCAAGTATTATTCTAATGCTCTTTAAGTTCGAGGTATTAGTTCCAGGATCGCTAAAGGTATTGGAAGAACGGGTATTCGATCAAGGAAAGGCACTTACTGGTATGCTGTTAATTTTGGCTCCTCCGCTCATTCATCATCGTCAAGCGTCCTCTTTTATCGCCCGTCAGACTGACGTGCCTGTCAGCACGCAGTGCGATTGCAAATTCAATTATTCGAAATGCAGACTTTCCAGGGGAACACCGAGCATTAAACACTGCTGCGTTTTATAAGTTTGTGTGCTGAAATTTAGAATTGTCGGGTCAACCAGCGGACCATTTGAGGCCCCGACGGGCCGGCCATCAGGAAATTAGAAACGCATGCCACTTGCTGACCGGGATGCACAGATGAACAGGATGCCCCGCGTCCCCGGGGGACTGCAGCAGTGGAATCCGAATCCAAGGCTCGAATGCAAGGGTATCACTGCATTTCCTGGGCGAAAAGCGAAAGGGATGAGCTCGGAGCTGTTGAACGAAATCCATGGCAGCATTGTTTGCGTTGGCCAACACGTTGGCTCCCATTTCCGTTTATGGATGGCGCCTCCCGGGACAGTTCTGGATGCCATCTGGTGGGTCCAGATGAGCAGTTTGGGATTACGCTCTCCGAGCAGCAAGTGCCCTTCGAGGAGCACGTGTATCAAAGAGTTGCAGACTCGAAACATGGAATCCAATTACGACTCCGCCTCAGACTTTTACTTCGCCTCGACTTGGAGCGGGGTGCCAGAAAGGCACTCGTGTAAATTCATGAATCGAATTGGTTTATGGCCTGCCTGCCCCACTCGACGGATCCTGCGACATGGAGCAACGCCCCAGACCGACGACTGCAGCCGACATCACAAGGCGAGCTCTCTCCGCAGGGTTTCCCGTTCGACGTTCGCCCATCGCTGTTCGCCAGACTGGGGGCCTGCCAAAAACATGGGGAGCGCAGTCCCCCAATATGTTTATGGCCAAAGTTCAAAGACTCTGTTTGTCTTTTGATGGGGTGCAAATTGAAATTGAATTTGGCCGGGTTAAGCGCAAAAGCCGCCTCCTTCGAGCCCCTCTGTCCCAAAATCGCAGTGGGGCCTCCTCCCACGCTCGTCGCTGTCGCAAAATCGCAAAAAAGCAAACATTTGCAGGAAGCGCGCCCGAAATATTTCTGCCACATAAATCATAACAATGGCCATATTGTATATGTAAAACTGCATGTTACAGCGGCAACTGCAGCTTGTGTGCCTGTGTGCCACCACAGACAAACAAAAATCAAATTCAAAAGCTATATAAATCCGGCCGAGCTCTCGGAGAATTCCCCTATGATGCTTGGGGACACATTTTTGAGGGAGATAAGACCTACGGACAGTGAAAGAAGGATCACTTATTTGCATTTTCCGTACAACAACTGTGTAGTTTTATGTTCGGGAACTCTGAGAAGTGAAGGTACTTAAGTTGGTCGTTTATTGAGTCATGAGAAAAACGGTAGCTACCTCATCTGCAGTGTGTTGCGAATTCGTTAGTGAAAAAAGTCAAGCAACACTGGTAAACAAGCCACAACTTTGGCAAGAGCCCTGCAAACATGTAACTTTTTAAGAGCTATTAACATATGCGAAATGGAGCAGGGATGGAGAAGTTTTCATTACCCTATTTTGTAGGCTAGTTTAGTTTCCCTTTTCGTAGTGAGCAAACTTTTTTGGGTTAAAAAACTTCACCCCACTCCCTCCTCCGCGGCCCCAAAGGTCCAGCGCAACTATTGCAATAAATTGTCAATTTTTGAAATGTTTGCGATGTAGGCGAGGGCAATTTTATGGCCATTTCGGAGCTGATTTAATGCGCTAAGCGAGCGGGATTAGCCGGGCTCGTAAATCTGCAGTTAGATGGGGCGTTACGGCGGCTAACGTGCTGGAATCCCACTCCGCAGGCTCCGCAGAGCGGCCTTTCCCATAATTAAGTGGCGCAGTGCTGCAGCCCGGGGCCTCGAAGGATGCTCTTGTAGCGTCATTAAGACACGTGGGCGGATCATCTTGCTAACAGGCACTTGAACATCACACGGCGAGCTGAGAGTGCAATTTGCGTTGACAACATAAACAGCCAACGGCTGGGGGCAGGAGGTCCTGGCAGGATGTTGCGACAGCAGCGACTCGAGTGCAGCAGCACCAAGGATAAGCCGCGGGAATAGTGCTCGACATGCACCGAGTGCCTCCGAACACGCTCCGCTGCCACTTGGCCTGCGGGCCCAGCGGATTTCTTGGCCGCCTTCCGCCGACGAGCCGCCTTCCAAGGAGGCTGCCTTCGAGGAGGCAGAAGTGGCAGCAGTGGCAGGAGAGGCAGGAGAGGCCTGCATGCGCCCGGCAGAAGGCCAAGTGGAACCACCAGAGGAGAAGATCTCCTGCGCCACGAATGCCATTATAAATGTCGCAAAGTTAAGCAGCGAATGCATGAAAGTCAAGTGGCGGTTACTATTACTATTTTTATTCTTGTCCCTTCGCCGCTCTCCGGCACAATTAGAAGCCCGGAGGACGGCCGGCTGTCCCTGACTGCTTCATATTTCACAGAGAATGCAAAGCGGAAGGGGCGGCCGACAAAAACTATAACAAGTGGTTAGCTCGACAGCGGAATTGCGACAAAACACAGCAAAGGACATGTGTAAAGGAGCACTTGCAGGACATTCAGACTGTCAGTGGCAAAAACATGGCAAGTGCTCTGCCACTCTGCAACGGGGGAGGGGCGAGAGCCAAGGAGGAAACGTGGCCAACAAGTGATGTCGGACCCGTCACCGGCAACATTTCCGCAGAAACGGGGTTTTCTCCTTCGTCAAAGTAATAGCATATCATTTAAGATTTAACCCGTCTCGGATTTGCTGTGACCGTTAGTTATAAAACGAAATTGCTATTCCCTAAATAAACTTCTGTTGCAGAGTCCTGGTTTAAAATACATTCAGAAATCCACTAGAATATAAAAGCAATTGGCCAGAGAAGAGAGCGCCCAACATTTTACCAGTTGAAAGTATTCACTCGCTACAAGCAGAGAACAACAAAGTTTCAGCCAAACGTTCCTTCGGGATCTAACTTTCATAATCTGCTGTGTTTTTACCTTTTCCATAGAGCGAGCATGACTTTTTGTCCAAAATGTATTCGCTGGGGTTTCCTGCAGAACTGAGAGAAGCGAAAATCTCCAAGTATGGCGTTCAAACCTATCTTTTTGTTCTTTCACGACTGTGATTTAAAAAGTTGTTCGTACTGCTCAAACTGATTTTCATCACATATTGTACACACAACCCAATACGAAATTTAAAGTACTCATTAATGCTGCCTTTAACTATGCAGAAGCCCAGAAACAGCAATATAATTATATTATATAATAATTTAATCAAATAAAATGCTGAACAGTTTATTAACAAATTATTAATATGGCAAGTAAGTTAAATCACCAAGGTATTCTAACATCAATACGAGTATGTTTAAATCCTTCTCTCATAAGAATTTCCAAACTTAATCAGATGATAATCTATAGACAAATTTGGAATGTGAGCGTTATTTCCTTTTCTTTCTACTTGTAAGCACTTACATCAACAAACATTAATAACAATTAATAAATAATTAATTTAAAATAAATTAAAATCAACATAAATCAGTTCATCATGGAACCAACCTCAAAGTTGTGCGCTTCTAACACATTCTTGTTAATCCAATACATTAGAGCCCTTTGTTCCATACATCCCGACTGAGTTCAAACTCGATTTCCCCAGATCACATATTTAATAGAACATTTACATAAAAGTGGTAGTGCCAAGAGTGTAAAGTGGGTAAGTGTAACCATCAGCGTTCCCGTGTTCCTGTTTCACTTAAGACGTGTATGTTGCAGAAGGGGTGGGACAATCCTCTCCTGCCCTACTTGACCTGCATGCCCTACATGCCCATGCCTCCCAATCCGCCGAGGGCGGACAGTCCAGCTGCCGCCCCCGCAGCGGCGGCGTCCTCGATTGGCAGCTCCGCCACCACGGCCTCGGCGGTGGTGAGCAGGGAGGCCACGCCGGCGGCGTCCGAGATGGCGGTGCGCACCACCTTGGTGGGGTCGACGATGCCGCGCTCAATCATGTTGCCGAACTCTCCCTTGAGGGCGTCGTAGCCGTAGTCGCCGTCGAGGATCTCCACCTTGGCCACCACCATGGCCCCGTCCACGCCCGCGTTCTTCGCGATCGTGAGGCAGGGCATTCGCAGGGCCCGCCGCACGATCTCGATGCCCATCCGCTGGTCCTCGTTGGCGCCCTGGAGGTCGCTCAGCTTCTGGATGCAGCGCAGCAGGGCGGTGCCCCCGCCGGCCACGATGCCCTCCTCCACGGCGGCCCGCGTGGCGTTGAGGGCGTCGTGCACGCGGTCCTTCTTCTCGCCCACCTCCACGTCGCTGGAGCCGCCCACGCGCAGCAGGGCCACCCCGGAGCAGAGCCGCGCCAGCCGCTCCTGCATCCGCTCCTTCTCGTACGCGGAGGTGGTGCTCTGCCCGATGGCCTCCCGCAGCCCCGCCACCCGCCGCTCCACCGCCTCCTTCTGGCCGCGGCCGCCGAGCAGCAGCGTGTCGTCCTTGGTGACCACCACCTCGCCCACGCGGCCCAGGTCGCTCAGCTTGACGTCCTCGAGCCGCACCAGGTTCGCCTCGTCCCCGAACACGATCCCGCCGGTGGCCGCGGCCACGTCCGCGAGCGTCTCCTTCCGGTTGTCCCCGAAGCCGGGCGCCTTCACCGCGCAGACCTGCAGGCCCACCTTCAGGCGGTTCACGACCATGGTGCTCAGGGCCTCGGCCTCCACGTCCTCGGCGATCACCACCAGCGGGCGGCGCTGCGCGTTGGCCAGCTCCAGGGCGGGCACGATGCTCTGGGCCGACTTGATCTTCTTCTCGGAGAGGAGCAGCAGCGCGTCCTGGAACTCCACCTTGGCGCCCTTGGCGGCGTTCACGAAGTAGGGCGAGATGTAGCCCCGGTCGAACTTCATGCCCTCCACCACCTCCAGCTCGTCGCAGAGCGTCTTGCCGTCCTTGACCGTGATGACCCCGTCGCGACCGACCTTCGCGATGGCCTCGCCGATGAGGCTGCCCACCGAGCGGTCCCCGTTGGCGGAGATGGTCGCCACCTGGCAGATCTCCTCGGGCGTGCCCACCGGGCGGGACATCCTGCGCAGGTTCTCCTTCACCGCCTCGACGGCCAGCATCACCCCGCGGCGGATCTCCACCGGACTGGCTCCGCGCGAGATCTTCTCGAAGCCCTCCTTCGCGATGGCGCGGGCCAGAACCGTGGCCGTGGTGGTGCCGTCGCCCGCCTCCTCGTTCGTGTTGTTGGCCACGTCCTGCACCAGCTTGGCCCCCACGTTCTGGAACTTGTCCTTCAGCGCGATCGCCTTGGCCACCGTCACCCCGTCTTTGGTGATCTTCGGCGACCCCCAGCTCTGCTCGATGATCACGTTGCGGCCCTTCGGCCCCATGGTCACGGCCACCGCGTCCGCCAGCACGTCCACGCCCTGCAGCATCATGGCCCGCACCTCTGGCCCGAACTTCACGTCCTTGGCGAAGCAGCGCGCTCCCAAAAGGCGGCCGATCCTCGCGGAACCTCGAAGGCCGCCACTGCAACTGGTGAGCATGTGCATCTTAAAGAGCTAAGGAGTGGGTGAGTAGGTCAGGTGGATTAGTAGGTTAGTGGTTAGTGGATTAGTGTGCAAGTGGGTTAGTGGTTTGGTTCGGTGGGATATGAGTTAGTACTGCTGCGAACTCACTATTTTTTGCCTGTTCCGATGAGTTTGTAGGCGCTGTTGAAGCTTCAGCGGTGAAGTGTAGAGTGGAGAGCTCGGGCGTCGAATGCCACTGACAACGAGCACCTGCCTACTTAGTTCGTCCGAACTTGCTAGGAAGCTAAATATAATAAAATCCTAGTACTCTGCCCCTTAAAGTTAAAAATCTACTTATTAAAACGAATGTACTATACGATTTTTTAGGGTTATACTGTTTAGTTTACATTGAAGAAGCAGCATTTACCTCGTAGCTAAAGCATCAGAAATCCAACAATTCAAATGATGTCTCTTTTTAAGACTTTAGAAGAGGTAACAACAGTTGTTTTGTTGAAAATTTCTTGTTTTCTCTTTTGAAATTGTTTAAAAAAACTTGTTATTTTTATTGTGAAGCTAAATAAATTTATAAATTTTAAAAGAAGCTAAATAAACGGTGTAGCTAATAAATGTAGTTCTAAATTTCAGGGATTGCGTCAGTCCCCTTCTTAAAAAACCGTACACCCTCCTTGAAGAAGCTATTCCGTTTAGACCTGAACACCTCTATCGGAGTCTTCTCCCCAATCCGCCCCAATCCAGTGAACACTTACCTGGGCGACAATTTGTAGCTGAAAAGTGAAAACCATTTAAATAGTCGTAAAATGTGCGACGACAGCGACCGAAATACAATAAAAGCCAAGTGGAATGGGGCTCCCCGCAGACCTCCGTTCACCCTTTCCCAAGAAACATAAGCTCTTCGCCGGGTATCGTTCGCTCTCGCTGTCAGCTGCGCTTACAAGCGAACGGAAAATTGAAAACTGTTAAGGCGGTGTAAGACGAGCCGAGGGGCCAAGATGGGTGGCAGAGTTGCCGGATCAGCCTTTTCGCCACATTAGCTATGCCTTGGGATTATTAGAAATATGCACTGATTCTGTTCTTGCGGCGGTTGCGTACATTACATAAAGATATAAATATTCCAGGCGTTGGACTCCTAGGTACTCAAGATGAGATGTCTCGAATAAGACAAGTTACACATGATGCAGCTGTTAGCAATATATTGTGGCGACTTGAACTAAATCTAGGTATGTATAATTCTTTTAAGTATTTTTGGAATGTAGAAAAATGCTCTGCGAAGGTACCACCACTCCAACCCTCATAGTTTTCATGATTAAATCGTTAATACGTACGCTCAAACAAATGGGTAGTCATGGCTAGATCGATTCGATATTATTAATATATATTACGTATCAAAATTGATTTTATATTAATATTTAAAACAAATGATTTGTACGCTATAAATTATTGTTGTTGTTCTAAGCATTAATATTTTTATTTTAAAAAAGAAACAAAAAAGTGGTTGCACATCATTGAGTTTTAACTTTAAAGTCATACTCGATCCGACAATAGTAAAAAAAACGTATTCCGCGTATAGCTAAGTAAGAACTTAGCTCAAAAATAAAATGCCAATAAACATCACTAAATTAGGTTACTAACACCAATTATTCTTTTAGGTCTTTGTGTTGGAAAAAATTGTCGATTGTACTTAATTAGGATGTTTTTAGGCAATATTTACATTGTTAAAACTAACTTGCGCTAGTTTGGCAACACTGGTGGAGGCGGGGAACCAGAAATTGAAGACATCCAGCGGACAGCGACAAATGGCGGTGCTTGTTCATGAAAATTTAAATTGCAAAATGGGCTCTATAGAAGGGCGGCTACAAGACCGCCCCTCCTTTCCCTTCCTATTGGCAAATATTTGTGTTTTAATTACCTGGAAAGTGTCAGGACTTTCTAAGATGAGCTTAGAGTTTAGTGTAAATTTGCTTTCAGCCTGTGACAACACATGACGCCGGCTGATAATTATTATTTGATTCATGCCTGCTAAAATTAATCTGCAACAGCTGGCCAAATTGAATATTTTGTTCATGTTTTTAATTATTTTAGACAGCTCGAATTATTTTTTTCCACTTTCAACCAGTTTTGGTGAGGGGTGAATCGTTAAAAATAATGTGATATTTTTAATGTCTTTTCCAAATGTTACTTTTAAAACTTAAGGAAGAGCAAATAGCTGACAAAAATTGTAAAGTGCCAAAGACAAGTATTAACATAATTGTTAACTAAAACTATATGCTATCTGGTTGCTAATCGTAATTAAGAACAGCTTGCTCGCATATGAAAATTGTTCATTTTCATTGCCAGTAGTTCTATTTGTCAGTAACATAGTATATTTTGGCCGCAGTAAGACCAAATCGAGTTGTGAACAGGTTTCAATTGCAGTAAGTGGAGAGTATCAATATTCAGGGCAGTGGCTGCTAATAGGATTCACTTCACCTACAATATCCGATCCCATTCAAGCCACGCACATGCTGGCTACAATTGATGCATCTGATTTAATTACAACAGCAGTCGAAAATTAGCAGACATTAATACTACAAGAGAACACTGACCTATTAACGCGACTCGAAGGAACGGGGAAGAGCAGTTGGAGAAGACTAAGAAGGGCCCACGCATCATTAGGAAAATGGCAACGAAATTAGGGAAAATTAGCAGTTGGCCGTGCCGCCGACTGGAGATGGCAAATGGGGAACATTTATTCGAATGTAATCCATTATGAAATCGCATAATGAAGAGATTAGCACACGCATTTGGGGCGCAATTAATAAATGACCCGAAAAAGGACAAAGACGAGGCGGGGAAACTGACCTCTGTCATTCCATTTGCGTGCTTAGTCCGCGGTGGAGTCCAATAAATTAGGCAAACGGTAATCATTAGTTTTATTTAATTTATACGTATACGACACAGACAAATCAGGTGGGGCCCTCGTTCTATTCCTCGCTCTATTGATAAATATTGTGCTGAAGTGACCCTGATGGGACAATAACTTAAGGCATAATCGGGGCGAAGCAGCTGGCGCCTATTAACCCATTGATGCTCAGCTTTTGTGCTAACTCTTCCGAACAATGTTCACGTAAAAGGCTTTGCACTTCATTTAACTTTTCTCCTTGGACTTAACGCAGCCAAGCACTTTCCCAGCCGCGATTTTCTGCTCCCCTCCCTCCCTTTTCAGCACCCCTCTAATCGATAATTAACCACAAAAACTTGGCACGCAACAGGAAAAGGGAAGGGCCGGTAAATGGATGAAAAGGGGCACTGGGCCTAAATATAAAGAGGGTAATGGCACGGCGCAATCTTAATTAAAACGAGAAATTGCGTTTTGGTTGGTGGGGAGTCGACTGCGATCTACCCGCTACTGAGTCAACAAACTTTTAACCCAGAAGGAATAGTAATGTTAAGTACCGATTTCTCTTTAAAAAAGAGGTTTCGAGTAAAACAATTTTTGTGAGTCTCTACACATCAATGCCGATTTTGCATTGGTTAAGTCAAGAAGATATCATACCCTTTAAGTTTATCTGTAAAGAGATATGAGCAGCGGACGGCTTTGTTAACTTAAAGTGATGGTCAAACTGGCCAAAGTTGAAAGGAAAATTTTAAGAGGCTTTTCTTAAAAAGTTTATTAGTTGATTGTGCGGCAAAAATAACAAAACGGTATAATATATATACTTAGGGTAGGACGAAATGAAAAAATAAGTAAACAATGAATCTATAAGCTTTACGAATTTAATGGGGTGAAATGAATAACAATTTTTATTTGGAAAGCTGTTTAAAATTCCAAAATATAATTTTTATGATTTCAATGCCCCTATGTACTGTATAGAAGATATATATTGACTTAGAGGGGAAAATTTCAAAGTTGGTCACATTCGCTAAAATGTGGACCAAGATACAACAAGTTCTTTACATTTATGGAATTCCATATTTTCACAAACCACCTTTATCAAGTAGTTAAATATACCTATATCATGACTCATAAGTGTGAGCGAAGAATCTGGGACCTTCCTCTGCTGCGATTGCAGGGCTGTTTGGTGTGGCCAGGCGCCGTGGAGCTGCATGCTTCCCTGGTTTGCCGCACATTCCCTCTCGGATCCGTTAGCCCTTTTCGGATGGCTGCACACTTTGATTAGCCGAAACGGCTTGGCTTTGCGTGGTCTCGGCTGGCGTCTGGTTTGGTTTTTAACACTCAGACCCCTGACCCTGAACCACGCACCGCAACTGCCCAACCTCCCTATTTCCACCCACACATTCAGTGGTGGCTTACCGCCCGCTGTCTGGACGGTTCACATGAGCCGGAAGCGCATTATAAAGGGCATTTCCGGTATTTAGGTTGGGTTGGGTTGACGTGGGCCTCGCCGGCCTGAGTTATTAGTTCGGCGAATTCGGCGCGTTGGCTTCCCGAAGAAGTCAGGTGGAAAAGGTCACACCGGGTTAAACTTGGCGTGTGCGACGGCTTTCGGCTTTCGGCATAAGAAATGTATCGAGGGATAACAACTTTCCACTTTCCACTTTCCTCGCTCGCAAAACGGGGGAAAAGTTACGCAATCAAATATTATGCTGTCTGGTGAATGAAAAACAAGTTCAGCTGGGAAGATGCAGTGCGTTGCGAGGCAATCATAAGTCCGACACATCCCGAAAACTTTCGCTCGATCGAAAAGTTTTGTCTTAACGCAGTCATCGCTCGCCGCCAAATTCGAAAAAAATGGGGCAAGTCCGCTGTATGAACTGTCCAAAAAGTGTTTTGGGATAAGCGCAAACTTTCGCACACAAACGATTTTGACGGTCATTTTAATAAATTGAAAACTGGCGGAAGGGATAAGGGCGGTCCAGGGGGCCAAGGTCCAAAATCGATTGCAACTTTTGCTCCTTCCTGGCCGGCAGTGTTTGGGCAGGCTCATAAAATCTGTTTACTGGCTTATAAATAAGCGACACGATTTGTTTTTCTTTTAAAACTTTTGCTTCCTCTTCCCCTCTTGCCGATTTCTAGAGACATAACTTATGCATGTCAAGGACCTCGGAACTAAACAAATCTCGGATCAGCCAGAGTGTCTTCTTCATGGCCAAAGTTTTTAACATTTTTATTGAGTTTGCTTTGTAATTTAAATTGTTTGTCCTCAACTTGTTGACACGACAGAGGATGCCTAACCAAGTCGCTGTGATGGGGATAAGCCCGGTGGAGGGCGAGAGCCTTTCTCCTGCCAGATGACAGC